GTCTCAGGCCGGCAGGCGCCTCCCTTATATCCCAGTGCCTCTCACGGCCTGGCCCCAGCAAGGTCCCTTGGTCCAGGTTGCGCCCAGGCCCAGGCCCACACCCACCCCCACCCCCACCCCTGCACCAGGCCCTGGGCCAGGGCCCCAGTCCAGCATCGCAGCTGGGCCAGGGCAGGGCCGGTCTTTCTGGGCGCAGGGCCTGGAGAGGCCTGGTTTATCCCTGCACCATCACCCATGCCCTGTCCAAGTGGATTAGGCATCGACCCCCCCCACCCTGCCTGCTAGGCATTTAAGTGATTTGGGTACTATATTGTGATCCTAACCTCCTACTAGGCATCTAAGTGATTTAGAGGCCTAAATGTTACCCCCCAGTCCACCACCTGAGCACCTAAGTGATTTAGGGACCTAAGTGTGACCAGTCTACACAGCCCACCAGCTAAGTACCTAAGTGATTTAGAGGCCTAAATGTGCCCCCCCCAGCCTGCCAACTGAGCACTTAAGTGATTTATAGGCTTACGTGTACGCCCCCAGCCTGCAAACGGAGCACCTAAATGATTTAGAGGCCTAAGCGTGACCCCCCCAGCCTGCCACATGAGCACCTAAGTGATATAGGGTCCACGTGAGGCTAACATGCCAAAGTGGTGTGGGTAGCAAACGTGAACCCAATCCCCTACTAGGTGTCTAAGTGATTTAGGCCCCTAAGCACAAGGCCAACTTCCCCTACTAGATGATTCAGTGATTTAGGTACCTGAGACCTGGAGTTCTAAGTGATTTAGGCACCAAAGTGCAAACCTCACCCGCCTACTCGGTGTCTAATGGAGTTAAGTGCCTACGGGTGATTCTATCCCCTATAGGCATCTAAGTGATCAATCCAACTACTCCATGATTTAGGGGCCTAAGTGTGATCCCAATCCCCTACTGGGTGGCTAAGTGATTTAGGCACCTACTTGTAATAGTGACCTGCCTACTAGATGTCTAAGTAATATAGGTGCCTAAGCATGAGCCTCACTGACCTTCTAGGTGTCCAAGTGATTTAGATCCCTAAGTTTGATCCTAACCTGTATACTGGGCATCACAGTGAATTAGGCACCTAAATGCAAGCATAATCCACCCACTAGGTGTCCGTGTGATTTAGGCACCTAAGTGTGATCCTAACCCCTCTGGATGCCTGTGTGATTTAGGTGCCTACATGTGACACCACTCTGCTGAATAGGCGCCTAAATGATTTAGTCACCTGCATGCGATGCTGCACTGGTGAATAGTGCCTAAGTGGCACTGAATAGTGTAAACCTCCCTCGTATGGCCACTCGTATGATCAGGGGGCAGCAGGGCAGGCCCTACGAGGAGAGGCTGAGGGACCTGAACCTGTTCAGCCGTCACAAGAGAAGGCTGAGGGGGGATCTAGTGGCTGTTACAAACTAGTCAGAGGGGACCAGCAGGCATTGGGGGAGTCCCTGTTCCCCCAAGCGCTCCCAATAGTGACTAGAAATAACGGTCACAAGCTGGCAGAGGGTAGATTCAGACTAGACATCTGTAGGAGGTGCTATACTAGTAGGAGGCGCTACTTCACTGTCAGGGCGGCTAGGACCTGGAACCAACTTCCAAGAGAAGTGGTGCTGGCTCCTACCCTGGGGGTCTTTAAGAGGAGACACCAGCCCTTTTTCCTGCCATGGCAGGGGGTCGGACTTGATGATCTGCTCAGGTCCCTTCCAACCCTACCAACTTTGAAACTAAGAGTTTAATCCAGCTATTAGCTGTCCAAGTGATTTAGGTGTCTACCTCTGGGTCTGACCAGCTCACTAGCTGTTTAGTGACCCCCAACTGTGAGCCTAGCCCACCTCCCGGCCATCTAAGTGATTTAGTTGCCTGAATGTGAAACTAAATGATTTAGGCATGTAAAGGCATGTCAAAAGCACTTACTAGGTGTCTAAGTGATTTGGGTATCTAAGTGAGATGCCTACTAGGTGGTTCAGGCTCAGACTTAGGGGCCCAAATCACTTAGACATCTAGTAGGTGGGTTAAACTCACATGAAGAAACTCAGGAATCTAATATGTAGTCTAGCCTCATCTTTGGGTGCCCAAATCACTTAGACACCTAGTGGGTGAGATAGACTCAAAGTGATTTGGGCACCTAAGTATGACTCTACCCTGTCTACGAGATGTCTACGTGATTGGGACACCTGTGCATGAATCTAACACACATACTAGGCAGCTAAGTGATATAGTTAAAAATCACCTACTGGGTGTCTAAGTGATTTAGGCACCTAAGTGTGAGACAGGATCACCAAAGAGACATCCAAGTGATTTGTGCACCTAAGCGTGAGCCTGGCCTGTCTACTAGGTGTCTAGGTGATTTGGGCACCTATGCATAAGCCTACACCACTGGCTACCAAAGTGATTTAGGTTCTTCAGCGTGAGCTAACTCACCTAGTAGGTGTCTGCTGAGCAACAAGGGGTTAATCTTCCACTTCCAGTACTGTCCCGCACCCCAGTGGAAGTGAAAAGGATGCTGGGAGTTTGGGGGACCACTCACCTACCCTAAGTAGGGAGAAAAGTGCTTCCCTCCCATCAAAGTGGGGCAGGAAAACCGGCGCATGTGTTTACCATAATGACAGGAATAAAAACGTATTATTCTTTCTATACCATACAGCTGTGGCAGGAATAAAGCAGTGCCTCCATTTACCATAACAGCAGGATTGAAAG